ATTTCATCGTAAACGTTATCACCTCCATCAGCATGATCCCCTTTTCATGAATTAATGCTTCGTAGCCAGCAAATGATCCCTTCTCTCCATCTTCCTCCTCCTCCTCTCCTTCATTCATTTCACTCACACTATCATCATTCATCCTCATCATCATGATCAACTTCATTGTTTTTATCATGATCATCATCGTCATTACCATCATCATCTCTTTTTTAAACATCACTACTACCACCACCACCATCATTATCATCATCGTCATCACCATTATCATCATTTTCCTCATCATTATCATCATCACCACCTTCATCATCATCATCATCATCATCATCATACCAATTATTTTTTTCGCTTATAAACTTTGCTTTAAAACAATTTAATGATTTAAAAGTTGATAGTTGAATAACAATGATACTCTAGCCGTGGATGCAAGTTTGCCGATCCTTCATGAAATGAATTTTTTTTCTCAAAATGTTTGAAGACCGGTGTCTGAATGATATACTACGTAATGAGTTAACACAAAAGAGATCGAAAGTGATTAAATTGATGTTATGAAGTGGTTCATTATGGTAACGCGACATGAATTAGAATAACGATCAAAAACATTCTAATTTAAAGTCATGACAATTTAAGCAAAGAAGATACAAAAAATAAAAAACTCAAAAACACATAATATTTTTTATCTCACAAGGAGCTGTCCAAACACATCCCAATACATTACGGAACAAGTTGTTCAGAACATTAACAAATTTTCTAACCGGTTTAGCATCGTTATCATCATCAGGTGACGTTGACGATGACGTCATTTGCTCATCACTATCATCACTATCTTCCATGTTATCTCTTCTCCGCTTCCGTCCCATGGCATCACAGTCTGTTTAGTTATTGTAGAAGGCACACAACTTGTTCAAAACAGCCACCAAGTTAACTGCAACATGTATTACACAACTGAATCATTATTATTTTGTACCTTTAGAAGTTATTGTAATCCAACTTTGGTTGCACGAGTTTACCAAAATAATAAATTTAATTGAATTTAATGAATTTGGTGCTTTGAAACTGGCTCCAATAAAGTTTTTCAAACATTTTTACAGGTGGTTTTTTGGCAACAGACAGATTCAGAAGACCTCTATACACCAACAACACCAACAACAAATGGCAACGATTCACTTATGACAAACAATATAAAACAATGGACTGTTTAAAAATTAGCAGCTTTCCGTGGAATGTAATTACAATAATTGTAAATTTTCATTTAGACAGGTTCGAGATGTTAATGAAGTGTTTTATTCAAACTCAGAAATAATCTGTTTATAAATCTCTTTATAAAAGATTTCAAACTTTTCAGTGAAAAACAAAGCTTAAAAATAAAGCTAATTTTATAAGATTATATATATAACACATATATAATATATATTATATATATAATTATACATATAATATATAATTATATAAATAATATATAAATAAATATATATATATATATAACATCTAACATATGATATATATATATATATATATATATAACACGCCTAAGTTATCTTTTCCTTTTACATCACCGCATCCTTCTCATTGGTTGTTTCTTGGCCAATCAGATTAGTTTGTTCCACACCAACCAATAAAATGCTTCTAAACTAATTTAAACATTAATTTTAACAAAGTTTTATTGTATTAAAAAAACAAGTTGATGATGAAGGGATTGCACGGAACAAAATAATGTTAATAAGATGAAAAAATTGCGAAGACAGGTTGCGGACCAAATGAACAATGCCTATTTTAGATTGATCATTCCATAGTTGCAAAGATAGAGATGTGTGTTGCATTCTGTTGTGACTTTGCCGCTGTTGTAGGAATGCCGCTACATGAAACATCTGTCCTAACTGTTCGCAATGGATAGTAATTGTACAAATCATCATCTTCTACATCACATACATATTAACGTATGTGTATGCTTGTTGTCAGGATGTGACTTGTAAAAGTTGAAAACTCACTTAAATATGATGTATATTTTACTGCATTCCAACAAAAAAAGAAAAGGCAAAATTGCCTATAAGTTAATCCTTACTTGTTTTGTTACATTACATTATTGTAACTCGTGACGATTTGTAAATATTCGCATATTTGTAAATAAACTTGTCAAAATGTCTCGAACCCTAAACTTATAAAAAAATTAGAAAAAAGGAAAGGATTGAAAGGTCATAGATACAAGCTCTTCAAGAAGACAGGAAATCCAATAAAGCAAAGATTCTTCAGCAGCAGGGTAGTAAATGCCTGGAACGAGCTGAGCGATGAAATTGATTGACTAAGTGGATTCAATCAACAATTTTAAAATCAAGCTAGGAGAGCTAGGATAGTAGGACATTTATTTTGTAGTTGCTCCTACACAGATGCTAGTTTACTGAACCACTTTAAACTTTGTTGTTGTTGTTGTTGTTGTTATTATTTTTATTAATTCATCTTCATCTCCAACATCAACTTCATTAAATGCAGTTTAATGTAAATACCAACCAGTGCTGAGAAGCTCTCTGAGAAAATTCTAGTTCAAAAAAATATTTTAAAACGTTCGTGATTCTCTATGAAATAAATACGGCATAAAATCAAAAACGCTCTGAATACTTTCAAACGCTCTGAACATTTCCAATTAAGCTTTTACTCTTGCTTAATATTTAATTGATGTTTATGATTATTTAAAATTATTCAAATATTATTTTATTATTTATTTCATGTAAGTGGGTAATTATTTTTTAGTTATATAACCTGGATGTGATGAGCATAGGGGTCTGGCCTGCCTCACGATTTTTCACTATTGGGTAAATTTTTCTTGCAAGCGGTAGAATATGTTTCTTCTTCATATTCATTAGGTAGTCTCTGTCTGTAAATTATTTAAAATTAACAGTGGAATATATAAATGATTGGATATAACATTGAATAAGTTATAGATACTTCAAATAATAGAAATATTATATACACGTATATTTAACTTGATTTTTAAAACACACACACACACACCTCACACGCATGCCCGCACATACGCACGCACACACACACACAATAATTATGTGGTAGTGGGTTAGTGCATATATGCTTATAATACATACGACTTGTTTATAAGATGCATGCATGCATCATAACTGTAGGAGATTTGTTCGTCGGTCGAAGAATTGAATGCGTATTTTGTACAAGTTTTTACATTGGTGATCAGAGACAAGTTTATAAACTTCAACAACTTATCAAACATGTAAATAATTTTAAAAATAAAATTATTAGATTATTTGTATTTGGTCGTTTATAATTCTAATTATAACAATTAAATGAATGAGAATAAACAAATATTAATAAATACAATAGCAACATCAACATCTACTTAAGTTGAAAATCCGTAAAAGAAAGAATTTGTGAACAATTCTGAAGCAACAGTTTGCAGTTTGAAATTTAATTTTTAACCAACCAAAAAAAAACAATTTGGAATATCACAAAATGAGCAGCTACTACAAAAATAGAACCAATTTTATTACCTGCTCGTTTCTCATCATCATCATCATCCTCACCATCAGATCATCTTCATCCCAGGCAACCAAACCTCAATGTTTCCGATCAATTGAAACCACTTCCGGTAACAGTATCTGCATCATAAACGGTGACATCAGTCAACCCTTTCCTGTTTCAGTGATGTGCGAGGTCGAATGTGCGCATCGGTGTTTTTCAGATCCGATCGAATGTATCGGGTTTAATTGTCGGTATGATGAGCCGGTAGCGAGTTGTGAAATTGTGCTTAGTGGAGGAGGTGATTGGGTAGTTAGGTATGTCAGCTGTGATGCCCTTGTAACCGGTTGCTGTCGGTTTTATACGGTTAGTGTAGACGAAATCGTTATATCTGTATTTCTTGTTGTTGTTAATTGTATTGAAATGCTGCACTGCTTTTAAATAATTCAATAGTTTTCGTGTGTCATTGTTGTTTGTACTTTTTTTTGCGGTTTCTGGCCCCGCTTAAAAATTTGTGCCAATTTTTCAAAAGTTGAAATTGTTTGTTAATTGAATTGTTTGTTAATCGTTTCGAAGTCACACTATTATTGCTAAATCCTTTCGACTGAATTGAATTTTAGCTGCGAAAAACGTGGACCATTGTTCCAGACGTGAATGCAAGTTAGTTGATAAAATATCTACTCAAATCATTTTTTTATCATTTTTATTGAATTTATTTTAAACGCACAGCATTTGTTTGTTTGTAGTAGGTATTAAATCAACTCTCCTCTGCATATTTTAAGCTTTTTTGTTTAGGGTTGTTTCATTATGGTCAATTTTTTAAACAGAAATCAGGGTGCAAAAATAAAATTTTAAATTGGAAGGGGTAAGCAAGAATTAAAGCTATTAAAACCAGTAGTTTTCCACAAAATAAGACTTAATTTTTTGTTGGGAAGCCTGACATTGTCTTCAGTCAAAATCTGTATCAATTTATTTAGAGATTTCATTCTATTTAATTTCAACCCTTCCAAAATTTTTCGATGAATCGATGAACAAGTTTACTCCTTTTATTGACATCTCTAAATATTTCATTTAGATATTTATATGATTTACTCAGTTGTAATGATTAAATGATAACTGCTGGAAAACGTGATAATAATGATATTTGAAAAATGCAGCAGGTCTATAATTAGTACCTAAGTATTATTGACCAGGAAGAAGGATTTCTGTTGCAAAGAACAATGCAAAGTGAAATATATATTCATTTGTTTAGTTTCTTCACCAATCAATATATTTTACATGAAATGATGAAATCATCAGTGAATGAATGCACAAAATACAAACCTGCTAAGTGCTGCGAAGAATGCATTATGTGATTTAAATTAGCACACCGACACATGAAACAATGGTTTCATTAAAATGATTGACAGTTCGGTGGACCGGCATTGTAAAAATATATGCTCTATAAAAAATCAACATAGAAAAAAGTCGTTATTGAAAACTATTCCTATTATTAAAAATATTTGTAGCAAACTTATTTGGCAAAAAAATTTTGATTGAATTTATTTTGGTCATTTTGAGGAAATAAAACAAAAAAACGTAAAATATGTTATTATGTATAGGAATAAGGGTATTGTATTGAAATGAAAAAGAAATTTTTTTACGCCAATCAATTTTGACATGAAGCTTTTTATATTTTAAAACAGCAGTCGCGAACGCCGCCACATCGACGACAACGACGTTCAGGCCACAGACGGAAGCATCAACCACAACAACAACAACAACAACAGATAACTCTTATGATTGTACGACAACTGACCCGTGTGGTTCTCTATTGGAAATAGGGAAAAAATTTCCTCATCCAAATCCAAAATTATATGTTCAGTGTGTTGGACAAGGGGAGATTTTGATAAAGTGTAAAATTAACGCTTGCAATAACAGTTCCTACTACAATGTATCAATCAGTTCTTGTGTTTAAAAAATAAACGAACTTGATGAAGAGATATAGAAATATTAAAAATTGATTCAATAAAGTCAATAAAAAATAAAAATGATTTTTATATAGCTTATTTATATCGATTAATATATTATATAAGTTAGAAATAAAATCAACCAATCATTTAACTAATTAATCAAACAAACAATCAATCAACCAACCAGTCAACTAATTTGTTTTTAAAGCGATGTTCAACAGCGCTTCTCAGTGGATTTTACAAACCGATTAGCCTTGAGATCTGCTCGGAATTTCGTGTGGGGGAGAAGTAGTTAAAGAAGAGGGAGATATGATTCCAGAAAAAAGAGCCAGAAAAAGCAAAAGCAGATTTAGCGTAAGATGGTTTAACAGGAACCAAGAAAAAGTGAGAACGAGAAAATGATCATAGAGCGGGGCCATTGGCGGATCCAGGGTGGATGCGGAGGTGCATCCTCCACCAGACCATGAAGAAGAAAATGTTGAAGATATAGAGCAATAAAGTAAAAAGAAATTAACAAAAAGGCCAGGCAACAAAAAAGAATTTTGAAAATCATCTCTCACCAAAACGGAAATAAATAAACATGTTTAAATAACTTTTTTGAACAAAATATCAAGTTCAATACCTGTGTGGTGTTCTATTTTATTCTCCCCATCATGAAATTTAACAGAAATGACATCATCCATTCATTATAACTAGGACAAAGAGATCCTAGGATGTGTATAGGTTCAACTGATCAATGAAAGTTAAAAATTCGAAATCGTTTTCAGGCCAACATTGAGGTGCTTCGTTTCAAGGAGTACCGTAATGTAAATGATTTAAAAAAAAATTATCGAATCAGTTTGTTATGTAATTAGTTATTTTACTCAGTAAATGTTCCAGGCATTTTGGGAATGGTACTTTGTTTTTAACTTAATTGTTATAAAGTTATAAATATATATATATAAATAAATATATATATCTGTTGTCGAACTTATAATAAAATCATTTTGTTATTGTTAAATTAAAACAATTTACTTTTAATTAATAAATGAACATATCCATACATGCCTTGGAAATTTCACACAACTGCCAAAATATTCTATAGTATATGGCCATAACTTTCCGTCTCCATCCTCGTCACTTTAAAAGTCAAATTAATCGCACAACTCATCACTCAATCAAGACTTAAATTCACATTTAACATTTCTTGGTAGGTGTTCATGAGTGGATACCCGAAAATTCCTGATTGTGTCCGTGTAGAGATTAGTAAGTGTTGCAATTTTTCTCATTAACGCGAGTGTTTAATTCCGTTTCAGAAATTTGATAATCTCAGTAAATCGATATTTATCTATATCTTTTGACTCCTGAACTGTTTATGGGTTTCACTTGGTTTTGATTTTGTTTGATCAGATTTTTTAATTAAATTATTAAATTTTAAAACATACTACTTACTACTAACTAAAACCTACTGTAGGACAGAGGAGGCTTAAACCGTTTTTCCAGTTTTTTTCTTGAGTCTTGATTGATTGATAGGTAGGTAGGTGGGTTTTACATTTGTTTTTAATAAAAACTAAAAAGTGTACCATTACTTTATCACCACTTTACTTTTATTTACATTAATTTTTTTTATTAATGATTTAGATTTAAGATTAACATTTGTTAATTAATTTAAAATTTATATCTCAGCTTAGAAGAATTTTTTACTAGTCTTAGTAAAGTTTTACTTACTGAATTACATTTTTAAATCTAAATAGTATATATATGTATATAAACCATTTTTAATTGACATAATATAATAATAATCAATATTGCATTTGGAGATGATAAAAAAATTAAAAAATGGCTAAGAAATGCAGATTAAAAAAAATTGCAAATAGTTTGGAAATAAGAGTTTAATGAAAAATAAGAATAATAGGTTTAATATTGAGTACCATAAAAGAAATATTTTGGTAGTTTTCTTTACTGTATGAATTAGATTAAAGAAAAAGATAAGAACATAAGTAAGCCTATCTTTGCGCATGATTGTGGGTATTTAATATTAGTACTACTACTACTAGTTTGCTATAATCAAGATATTATGGAAGTATTAATTTAAAAATTAGTTATTTAAATGTTGCTTTTAATTAACTTTACTATGTTTATTTTATTTCTAAAGGAAAATGGTTGCTGATTGTGATCTGCTGGATAAGTTTATTCTAGATGTTTTTGAAGCTCTACCTGAAAATTTTTATTTCCCAATCTCATCACAAGAGCAAGCAAGAAAATTTGTCAAGGTTCTCCATGAAAAAGGAATTCAATACGATTTTATATGTAAGGAAATTAATGAACCTGACTCAAATTTTAATTTGTGGCGAAAAAGTGTTAGTCGACAGAGAGTTGGGGAAAGAATTATTGATAGAATTAATCAACCATTTGAATTATTTCTGGGTAGTTCAGCTAGAGATTCTGAATCCTCACATGACAGATATGAAGACTTTTATTTTGTTGAGCCTGATTATTTCAACTTCACCATTCCACCTGTCAATAAAAAGTGCAAACTTGGCAGACTTAAAAAATTTACAAATATTTCAAAAAACAATTCAATCAAACAAACACCAAAAGCAAATGAAGAAAATCACATTGAAGAATCGGTGTTTTCAATGAAATGTAATTCATCTGATATTAATAATTTCACTGTAATGGATCATTTACAAGAGGTAGATGATCATTCTGACAATGATTCAAATGCTGTCACAAAAAATGATTTAGATGTTTTAAGTGATAAATCTTTGTACAACTTTGCTTCAGCTTATGTAAGTGACATTACAAATGATGTTCTGAATAATTACTTCTATGAGGCAGAAAGTAGCATCTCGCCACTACAAAGTTTCAGTATGAAGGAAGGTTCCTGTTACGAGGTGAACAAGTTGAGCAATGATTCGTACATATCATGCACATCTCAATTTGCAGATGATCATGCATCTCTTCTTTCTGATGATAAAGACTTCACTGCTGACGAACAATATTTGAGCTTGGACAAGTATTCTTCTCCCTTCAGTTCCAAAGATGTTTCTCCAGAAGGTAATGAAACCAGTAAGAACATTTCAGATTCAAATCTCGATGCTCGTTGCTCACTTTTGCTAACCGACAACCACGAAATGACTTCAGAACATCACAAATTTTCTGAATGCAACAAGGAATTGACATATGAAGAGGCCGAACACAAAGATATGCAATATAAAAGTTTGAAAGAAGGTGAGGATGGAGTCAGAAAATTGTCAAATGCATGTGAAGATTCAAGTCATGGTGATGTAATACCAGATGAAAAAATTATAAGGGAGAATGAGTGCTACAACAGTGATGAAGATGACTCGGATTCAACTAAATTCAAAGAGAACCATTTGTATCTGCGAAAAATTGACAGAAACAAAACTGGTTTTATATACATTTTCATGCAGCCAATTACAGACAATGACTGTTCAAAAAGGTTCAAAATTGGTGCTTCTCGGAACCCAGGAAGAAAATATTTGCAAGCTCTTAATTTCAACATCGAACTGAGGTTTGTTAAAGCTTACAAAGTATCCAACATGGCTGAGAGTTTAGAGAAAGTTTTCACAGAGTACAACTGTTTTGCACTTCATCATTACTCTGGCTGGTTTGAAGCAGACGAGGCAAGTTTCTTGGGATGTCTCGAATGTACTATAAGAGGCATTCCTTGATTTGTATTATCTCTCAAATATCAGGTGCTTTTTGTATACACATATGTGAATATATGTATTAGTGTTTGTGTATGTATGTTTTTATGTTTATGTGTGCGTGTACATCTGGATGTTTATGTTGTTAATGTGTGTAGTATGAATGTATGTATGTATGCTTGCATGTTGTTAAAACTATCCTGTATGCTTTTCAACATTTTAAAGCCAACGTGAGCCTTTTTTATTTATTTTCTTCGTAATTATGTTTCATACATCAAATGATTATAGTTTGTGTCTTGTGATAACTCATGATTTGAATGAATGCTTTTACATTTTTTAAAGAGGCAACATATATTAGCATGCAATTTGTATGGGGTTGTATGAAGCTGCATGCAGTTGTTGATCTTCTAACATCCAGGTTACTTGCTATGCTTACAGGATCAAATTTCATTCAATCAATTTTTTTTACTTGAAATAGATAAATAATTTCTTCTTCTTATTTGCCTGTCTCTGTTGAACTTCTTCCATTGGGCATGCAGCCTGCTTCCAAGCTGTCTTATTTCGTGCTTGAAAATTTATTATTCAAATTTTATTGTATAAAAAAAAGAATTGAAATGATTGTGTATAGATATTTTTATTATCGTTTTTGGTTATTTTTTATACATTGTCACAAAAAAAAATTAAAAAGCAAATGTATATATATATATATATATATATATATATATATATATATATATATATATATTTACATATATATATATTTACAATATTCTATAAATTCTATCGAATGTTTGGCGTTAATATGTTAGTAGTTCGTTTTTTCAATTTTTCTCACTAAAGTTTTTTGGTGAACGTTTAGTTTATTAAAATTCAAAATAAACTTATTTC